ACCGTCTCGTTCCGTTCCGAACACGATATCGTTGTCGTCGGGCAACCTCGGCGGTACGTTAAACTACTCAATACATTTCATATATATATATATATATATTCGCACCACACAACCACCACGAACAATGTATATATATATATCAATATATCTGTCGTGTTGTGATGGTCGTAGCGCAGTATATAAAAAAATATATATATTTGTCGTGGCCTGCATACTATTAGTATGTACTGGTATGCTTTGGAGTATGACAGCGAATGATATTGAGAATTTCACCCAAATTTGGACTTGAGAGTCATTTCGTCAAATAATTTTCGAATCTGTTTGATCCTATTTAAGCTTGTACACGTTATACTATAAAAATATTAGTATATATTGGTTTTGCCCAATGCAGTGGAGTCAAAGGTTTAGATTGGTAGAAATTCGACATGACCTAATTTGATTGGCTCAGGCGGTTCTTTAATCGATTCTCTGAAGACATTCGATTCTGCTGAGGGCTCCAGTTTCGAATCAATTTGACAATATGTGGCTGTAGATACTTCTACTTGATCGAACAAGGAAGCGTTCAAGTCTGTGGGGCAAACACAACCGAAGGCCAGCACGTGTACTTGGACTTGGCCCCGCGCTCGTTCTTTGGGGAATTGGTAATTATACTATCTTGAACGTCATTCTATTATTTATTCTAGTTCTGATTTGCCAAATCCGTCGATCGATAGTGTTTGTACTGTGAATTTGGAATGTCAAAACCTATACAGTGCAGTGTCACACCACACCACACTAATAATATACATGGTCAATGTGGAAGGGTTGAAACGAGGATTTGATTGGCCAGTGAATTTGTGTTCTGGGTTTTGATTGGTCGATCGATTGTCGGCCCAATTTCGAACCGAATTGACAATAAACTACTTTGTATTTTGCATTTGAGGGAAATTATGCATTCAGGATTGGATTTCCAAGATCACCCCACCCAGCACGATTAGAAACCGTTCGGATGGGCCAATTCTAATTATCCAATCAAATGTCGACAATTCACGACATCTAGAGGTCTCAGAGGATCTCGTGTTCTTTCTTCGTCGTGAAGTATGGCTGCTGAATCGGTTCTGTCAAACCAAGATGGATGTCATGGTTGCAAGCCCTTTCTTTGAAACCGGCCAATCAAAGTTGGTCTTCTAAAAATTAGCCAATCGGATGTACTGGTGGCGCGATTGTTTCGCGCGATACGATTGGGCCCACTTCCAAAATTCATGTAGAATAGACAATATTATTGTGGACATTTCAAATTGCATTTGGTTCTGTGACAGTTATAATTCAAATATAAGTTCACCAGTTAAAATAAGGGCGATTATATAAACAATGGTCTCGTAAATCTTGAAATCAGTCAGAGGTCTTTCATGTTATATGTATGAATTCGGGTTTTTCGATGGCGGTGTGTGTACATTTATTTCCATGGCAAAGAAGTGTGCAAATCGTACAAAATGAGAGACTCCTCCATTCGTTCCTATGGATTTGATGCGTAATAATATTGCCCTTTTACCCAAAATTTGGACGACTCTTGTGCTGATTCGCCAAATCCATCGATCGATTCTTTGTATTGGTTTTTGTATGTAAACTTCGTGCAGTTTAAGTCACACCCTAATTTGATGTTGTATGATTGGTCGTATAATTTGATTGGCTACTTGATTCGTGATTTGGGTTTTCATTGGTCGTATATTGTCTGCCGATTTGGTGCTAACACTCTCCAATTTCGAATCGACAATACCATTTGACAACAGACTAACACTCGTGGGACTGGTTGGTGTTAGAAACTTGGGCACCGCTTGTCGTGGATTCGGGAAAATACGCTGCCGTCGTTCATCGTAGCGGGGGCTGCCGGCGCCGACATGATCGAGTTCGACGTCCAGCTGTCGAGAGATCGCGTGCCCGTGATCTACCACGATTTCTTTCTCCATGCCAAGCTCGGCCACCGCGTGCTTCATGCGACCATGATGTCCAAGATGGGGCTACACGACTTGACATTGGCGCAGCTGAACCAGGTCGAGTGGCGCCACTGCAGCCAGCCGAATCCGTCGCGCCTGCGCTCGCTGCTTCGAAAGCACTGGCTTTCGATCTTGGCATTAGCCCAACCTCCTCCTCCATCTTTGTCAAGTAGCGTCCAACCACGTCCATCAAACTCGAATGGGACCAAATATGTGACGACGGGTGGCTCCTGTGACAGCGTTTCGCCAATGCAAGCGTTGTGCGATGCGTTTCCAACGCTGCGATTGGCGTTCGACCATGTGCCTCTCCATGTGGGCTTCAATATTGAGATCAAATACCCCGCGGACAACTCGACCCGCCATCTTACGGCGTTGCCGTCGTTTGAGGTATTGTCGATTTCGTTGATATTGGCACAAATCTTTTGAGTCCAAATCGGCTTCCAATCAATTTTTCCCAATTTGGGGTTGCTTGTCACTATATTACTTACTATATATGGATTTGTCCCAAGGGACAAAACGAGTATCTGTTGGGCAGAAAGCTACAGAACGTGATATTTGATTGACGACCACCGGATTTGTCGTGCCTTTGCACCATGTCATTAAATTTGAACATTTAATATAAATATTGCATATGTACACTGCATTTATGATTAGATTGAATTTATCGTTTTACTTAGGTTTTAGATTTCATGGTGCAGATATTTGCATCGAATGTTGTTGGCTTAACTGAGTCTACCGTATTTGTGATAGTATATTTGCACCGTGAAGTAAATATTTGAACAATTTATTAAAACATTCCATTTGTATAATTAATTTCAGGTGACACTAGCTATATAATGACTTTCATGTATTATATTTCAAGGTGCAGATCAAAACGACAAATACGGCAGTGAGTCATGTATCTTGTTTTCAAATATTCATGAAGTGGCGGGAGTAGAGAGCTGGTGATTGTGAACTCGGAAATAGCTTCCAAGGGACAAAACGAGTATCTGTTGTTTGCGCAGAAAAATCAACAGAATACCTCTGGTATTTGATG